GCGGCCCCCGCCTCGGCGCCCCGCCGGCATCCTCAGACCTGGCCTCGTGAGGCGCCGGGTGTCGTGGGGTCCCCAGCTCCCCTTCCTCACCTAAAAATTCTCGCCGCGCCCCCTCCCTCCCTGGCTCCCTGAACAGCGTCCAGCCCGCGGTCCCTTTTCCGGACCTGGGTGGCGTGCGGTCCTCCCCCGCCCCCAGCTTAGGTTCCTGCGCCCCTAGTCCTAGCTCCCCTCTTTTGTACTCCCCCTTTAATCCCCATCCCCCCATTCAACCCAACTTCAGCCCCCGCGCTGCGCCCCCCTTCCCTGGCCCGGCTCGATTGGCCGCTCCCTGAGCTGTCAGGCTTGAGTCCGGCGCTCTTATTGGGCGATTCTCTGGCCGAGCGGCTGTGCCAAAGGAAGGCGCACCGGGCTGGGGGCGCCCAGGCAGCCACTGCCGCAGGGAGCCGAAGACCAGAGTCCCTGGAGGGCCGGAGGGGCCCGAGAGCCAGACCCGAAAATGGACGGGGGAGATGGAGAGACCGAGGATCTCTGAGGCGCAGGAAGACAGTGACGGAAAAGATGGAGATGCAGTGGGTGAGGCCGATGCGACCAGGGCGGGGCGGACAGGAACGCTTTGGTGGATAGTGACCAAGAAGGAATCCGGCAAACGGCACTAGGAACACTTGACATTTGTAAAGAGCTCTTTGCACGTTCATACTTTTTTTTAAAAATCCCATTTGATTCCCCTCAATAACCCTGGGTTGTGACAGGGCACGTGTGCTTATTCCCAGTTTATAAATGCTAAGACAGGCTTCAGAGCCTAATCAACTTGCCATGGGCCACAAAGGACTTACAACCGAAAGATATTTCGGCAGCGCCAGGCTGGCTCCCTACCTAGCAAGGTGTTAACCAGAAGGATGCACACCAGAGCAGGGTATGGAGCCCCCGCAGGAGAGGGGCAGGGGCGGGGGTGGGGGTGGGGGAGAGAGCTGAGAAGGACCAGATACTCCTGGACAGGGCCAGCAACAGAGAGGGAGGAGTGGAGAGGACTTTACTTCATGTCAAAGAGGACCTAGGCCTGTGGAATGATATACCTGCCCAATGCCCCTTGCCCCCAAAGTATCCTGCTGGAAGTTGCGGCAGTCTAACACTGGGACAGGTGAGAACACCACATCTCTACTTTGGGGAGGAAGAAACAACCTTTGCTTTACTCCTCTTTCTCCAGCTCTCTCTACAGAGCTTCTGAAGTCCGGGCGAGCGTCTCTTTCTTTCTCTGTTGGTCATCTCTTTGCAAATTGGGAAATAAACCTTGCCAGAGTTACAAACTGGGAGGAGAGACATTCTAAGAGATCTAAATAAATTAACCCTAAAGTAGTCCAGCGTTTGAGCCATCAGTCCATGATTAGTGAAGTCATAAAAAGCACCATTAGTCCACATTCACAGAGCACCCTCTATGTGCAAAGCACTGTGCTAGGTGCTATAGGGATAGAGGGTGACCCAGCTCTAGTCACAGTCAAGGAGGGAGAGGAGCTAGCCACTTACTCCAGTTCAGAGCATAATTCAGTGTTCACCAGAGGTCCAAACAGAGCATTTTGGGGGTTGGGAGAGAGGAGGCATTAATTCCCACTGTAAGGGCCAAAAAGACTCTATAGAGGTTGAATCTGGGGCCAGGAGAAAAGGAGGATGGACCAATATTTATTAAGCAACAATTATATGTGAATCTTACTGTCATATGACCATTTTGTGGAAGATGTTATTCTCCCCACTATAAAGATGAAAAGCTGAGACTTAGTTTGCCCAAGGTCCACCGTTTGTAGCAGAATGAAACCTAAGTTCAGTCTGCTCCTTGTACTTTACCGTATAGCCATGCAGCAAATATGCAGGGACACCCAGACAGGCAGCTTCATGGACAGAAGCCAGATGGCCTGAGCTATCAAGGTGACTGGGTTCCATTCTCCATCCCCTTCTCATTCCCTGAGCTCTCTTTAGATCATTCCTTTTCATGTTATTCAAAAATGTTAAACAACTGTCATGACAAAAGCCATATATGATTAAATTTGGAAAAACTAGAAAAAAGAAAGATAAAAGAAAACACATTCATAATCACAACACCTAGGAAGAACTATTAACATATGAATTTTTTTCTTAACCAAAAATGGAACTTTTACTCTACCGACAATTTTAGGATCTGCTTTTTTTCTACTTAGCAAAATACCATGGATGTTTTTCTTATACCAATAAACATCCATCCACAATATCCATTTTATTTCTTGAGTAGAATTCCATTGCGTGAATATAGCATAATGTATTTAACCAATCTCCTACTATTGGTCATTTTTCCCTGTCATAGCAGTTTACAAAAAGCTTCCACTCTTTTACTGTTATAAACAAGGAATGAGGAGTGGGTATAGCTCAGTGGTAGAGTGCATGCTTAACATGCACAGTGTCTGGGGTTCAATCCCCAGTATCTCCATTATAAAAAAAAAGAAGAAGAAGAAGGAGCATTTTTGTAGATAAATCTTCACACACATCTTTAATTGGATCCTTAAGAGAAATCCCTACAAGTAGAATTGCTGGGCCAAAGGATAAACATATTTTTTCGCTAAGGTATTTCTGAAATCTGAATCTTCAGCCCCTGCTTCCCTTCCCAGCTTCAAGCGTACCCCTGCCTACCAGAGAGCTCCCCACAGAGGCTCCTTGGTACTCACCAGCACCCCAGATTCAATTTGTCTAAAACTAATGTCATCTCTCAAGAAGCTTGCTCCTCGCTGTTTTCTTGACACTAGTGGAATTACCATTCCCCCAGACTCCCTGATCTTAGAGTAGTGACCCCTCCTATCCCAGTTCCCAGAGTTCTGCCACCATGCCTTTGTCTTTTCATATCTGTCTCTTCTTCCACGCTCTCTGGCTCCTACCTTCACCCAGATCTTCCCTCCTCGTTGCCTGGACAGTTACTAACTCTCCCTCCTTGCCTTCCCATCTGTCCTCCACTTTGTCTGCATCTTATCATACATGTCACACCCCGACTGAAAACTGTCCTCAAAACTGCTTCTTCCTACCTTCCAGCTTTCATCATCCACCACTTCCCCACCCTGAACTGCTCTTTAAACCTCTGCGGGACATCACCCTTTTCATGCACACACCCATTTGAAATAAAATTTATAGCACCTGTGTGATGCTACTTGAATGCCCCTTCCCTGCCCACCTCCCCCAGGCTATTAGGCACTGCCTCCTCCTCAGCTCCCAGAACACCTTGTCTTCATCTCTGTCAGAGCACTTGCCACATTGTATGATCTTGATTTGTTTTCGGAATTGTCTCCACAGTCTGCTGAACCCCTTGAAGCAGAATTGGTATCTTACTCATTCTTGTGCCCCATACATGGCATACAGAAGATGCCCCTTAGCTGTCTGTCAGATAAACAGATGGTACATCTGAAGAATAGTGATGGGAATAGAGTCTGATCATTGGGGTGGGTGCTGAGACTGACTGGCAACCGTGGGTGTAGATGGAAGGGAGGGCTGGCCTCTAACACTATGTGGAGGAGGGTGGGCTTCAGTTTAAAGACAATGAAGTGTCTCTGAACTGAGGGACAGGAGTGTCCTGGGCCATTATGTTTTGGGAGCAGACTCTGGCAGTGTCGTAACTAGATTGGAAAAGCAAGATCCAAGGGCCTAGGGACCAGTCAGGAAGCTACTGCAGAGCTGAATGGATGGAGCCCAGAGGTGATGTAGTGATAGGAATGATGCCATTGGCTGGAGGACACCTGTGAATGGCTGACAGAGAAGCCCAGGGGTCAACCTCTGTGTAGAAAAGGAGTCCAAATGGTCAGAGGAAAACCAGAAAGGGGAGGGGGGTGTCACAGGAACAAAAGGCAGAGGTTTTGAAGGCCAACTCCAGGATGTGCTCCTGGCTGTTGTCATCAGATGGGGCTGACCCAAGGACCACCTTAGGTCTCTCTCTCTGAGGTGAGTACTTGGTTTGCAGAGGTGAGGTGACTGCATCGTGGGGCACAGCTAGCCCTTTGGGAGACCCATCCCCTGCCCTCCAGCCATCTTCCCCATATACCTTGACTTCATTCCTCATTCCCCCCAGGCTTCTTTTTGGAAGAATATTTCTATTTTGGAAATTAGAATATCAATATTTTAGAATGTTTAGAAATATTTGTAGAAGTAGTTCTCAGTAATACTCCCATACCTCAAAGTACCTTCCCCCACAATGCTTAAAATCCCACCATTAGATAGTCATGTTTTGGGATGACAATCATTCCCTAAAAATAAATGCAGAAAATCTAGAGACAGAAAGTAGATGAGTGGTTGCGTAGGCCTGGAGACGGGGAGGAATGGGGAGTGATGGCTGATGGGTACAAACTTTCTTTTGGGGGTCATGAAAATGTTCTAAAACTAGATTATGTGATGATTGCATAACTCAAGAAATATACTAAAAAACCATTGAAATGTACACTTTAATCCCACACGGTGAAGTTTATGGTGTATAAATTATATTTCAAGAAAGTGGTTGAAAAAATGAATGCAGACACCACTGGGAGATCGAAAGACAAATGCCAGGACTGCCAGCAATTATGAAGTTACTGTAGATGAGTTTAATCAGCAGGCTTCCCCCTCTAATGCCCAACCAAGTTTGGAGGCACTGAGAGAATAGATACTTGCTGTTTAGGAGTAGGGATGAGTTAGGGAGAGAAAGGAGAGAACACTTGGGACCACTGAGCATTTCCCAAGGCAAATGTTACCAGAAAAGGGCACAAGTGCCCAGGAATGGGAAGGAAGAGGGCAAAAGTGAAAGCCAGTTAGGAATGGGGCATCAAATATGAACTTGGCCTACTGTCTATGAGAGTCCTGCCTGTAACGAGTTCTTCAGAAGGAATTAAAGAACTCTTAAGAACCCTTGGCTCTCTGGAGGATGAAAGAATCTTAAAGATCATCCAATTCCCAAAGGTGTGTCAACCTCCCCTGGATATTTGCATTTTGAAAGCAAGTCTCATGCCTCAAACTAGATGACTTACCTTTCCTTTGAGGAACTTACTGCTACTCCCCAGCGAGAGCAGCTAACAGGATGGAGCATTGTGTGTCTTGAGGGTAGGTCTACCATGGAGGCTCAGGGTCCAGTGTCTTAGCCACTGGGCACAGATGGCTGAGGTCCCTGGGATTCATCCTGTACTCCAGCCTGTCCCCCACCGAGAGCTCTGACAGAGAACGAAGGACGTCAGTTGTCTTACTCTTGACCTCTGACTTCCTTGGCTTGGAAATCAAGGATGATAAGAAGTTTGCAACCGGCCAGAGGGAACTGGGCCCTACATTTTTCCAGACCCTACGTTCATCTCCAGACCTTCGTGCCTCAGGGAACGAGAAACATTCAGAGAGCTCAGATTGTAGCTGAGGTGGAAATGGCTGATAATAGCACGATCTGCCACTCTCCCAGGTGTTGACATTTGCATTTTAATGGAGGCGGTTAATGCCTTTAGCTGAAGGAGTGACTAATATGTTCTTTCGGTCGCAACTGGAGGTAATGGGAGACCCTTTGTAGCCCAGGGCCTCTTAATGTCCTCCAGTCACGAGGTCACACGCAGTGGGCAGCTGCCCACCCTTTACACTCTAGTGCCCCCATTCCACGCTTTATCTTTGTTCTTGATTTTGCTTTCTTGCAATTTCTCCTGACTCCCTTTTCCCCTAAAAGTATGGGAACATCCCCATGAGTCATTTATTCTTTCAACACACATAAACTGATTACCTATTTCAAGCAGAATACGATGCCGGACACAGCTGAGTGAGGGAGCCAGCAAAATGCCACCCCCAAGAAATCAGAGATGAGGAAATAACAGAAAGAGCTAGAGAACAGCGCAATGGCTTCAGACATGGGCCACGCAGCTTACACCCAGCACTTCTTGAACAAACAAGAGGCTGCGAACTAATAGGAGAAAATATTTGTGTGGGCTGGGGGAGCAGGAGAGGCTTCTGGGAGCCGTAAGAAGGGGATGTAAGTATGTGTAGGAGTTGGATATACAACAACTGGATGGAGTTTTGAGGATTCAAAACATTCCTCTAGTCACTAAAGACCGCATATTGTGTGATCCTATTTATATGAATTATCCAAAAGAGGCAAATCTATAGAAACAGAAAAGAGATCAGGGTGAAGGAATGGGTGGGAGAGATGGGAATTAGTTACTAATGAATACAATAGGATGGTGAAAGTTGTTCTAAGATTGTGGTGATGGTTCCACAACTCTAAATATACTAAAAAAACACTGAATTTCACACTTTTAAATGGATGAACTTTATGGAATGTAAATGGTATCTTAATAAAGCTATTTTAAAATGGGGGACAATGGGGTCTGAAAAGACCATTCCTTTAGTAATCCTGCTTCCGTTATAGAAGGAATATCCTACTTTTAAGCTCCTAGTCTTTTCCTGTATGAAGGCTCATTTTTAGGGTAAAACTCTTGCAAGGACTTCAATGTGGTATATATACCTTTAGTTAAGAAAATACATAATGGTAAAAAGCTATTACAAATTTAGCCATTGCTTTTCATTTAGTAAATAATTCTTTACTAATCCCAGTAGTATCTATGCTTCTAGAAAAATAGTTCTATATTTGTAGGGGAACACTTTATTATACCTACAGACGAGGTTTAGTGGTCCTCTCTCAGAATCTCCTTTGTCCTTTGGGGTCCTCAACCCACAGGTTTAGAATCCATACTCAAACAAGTCACGTTTGACTCAGCTTCTCTGTCAGGAGAATGCCAGGGAGTAGGGTTCTATTAGCAGAAAATGTGATACAATTTCCACCCCCGTGATGCTTCTGCCTCTTCAACTGCTCAGGCAAAATGGCATCCTTTCTCCTCCCAAATCAATGAGGTTTGCTGAGAGCAGATCCAGCACGGAAGATAGCCAGAGCCATGCTGGTTGGCAGACACTTGTCTTTAGCAAATATAATTAAAGACAGCAGCAAGTAAATGCCGATTAATTTTTCATTAGAAAAGTCAAAGGCAAACTTCTTGGAAAGCAGCATCATTGAACCTCAGCTTTGGTAGTTAAAGCCAGGCTTTCCTCCACCATGTGGATACCTTCTTGCATGACTACACACACACACACACACACACACACACACACACACACACACACACACACACACACAGTGAGACCACAACCTCTTTATTGAGTGTGGGAGAGAAAGAGTCAGAGGCCAGCTCCCCTATATACTTCAGAGGTTTTATGGTCCCATCCCCTACCTCAGATTACCCGATTCAACTGGCATTGGGCATCAGTTAGCTCATCTTTCTTTTCCTCCTTGTGTTTCCTTACTCAGACATCCCACCTGATAAGAAAACAGCCTTTCCACTCAACACAGAGAAGGATTGAGGGGAAGAATGCTAAACTTGGAGTTAGAACACCTGGAGGTTCTACGCCAGCTCTACCACTTCCCAGCTGTGTGGCATCTAACAAGTCACTCTACCTCTCTGAACTGCAGTCCCTGGTAAGGGTAACTGCTCTCCTACCTGTCTTGATGACTTGTTATGAGGATCCTGGACAATGATGTAAAATTCCTTTTCAAAGTATTCATCCTTAAGTAAAATGGGGGTCATTCTTAATAATAGCAAATTAATAAATTCATTCTTAATAAATCCAGATGTTCATTTAAGAGATGAACATGGAATAAGGTACTTCTCTGGGTCTCAGGCTCTTGCATACATTTATAGATGACTGTGATAAGTATTTTTATGTCTGTGCTGCGTGTGTACCAGCTCGTCTAGTAGTCTGGGAGATCTACTCTTTAATCTCTGCTGTGTTCAAAGCAGGGCCCCCAGGGCCATGCAGATGAGGTCTCTGTTCTCAAAGATTCCCTCTTTCAGGATTCTGACAGACTACAGCCTGTCTGCCAGGCAGACTGGAGAGCTGCGCCCTCCTGCAGGCGTGGGTGGTGATTAGAGTGGTCTGTGAGGAGCTCGAGTGGAGCTGAGTGTTGTTTTTCCTCTCACTGGCCACTCTGCTTGGCCTTGGAGTGGTTTTGTCCAGTCTCTGTATCACTGACTGTGAATCTGTGATTGGGGGTGACAAGCCAAGCCGTGTTAGCGATCATGCTGGGGCTGGCTGACCTTCCCCAAGCCAGGATAATCTCTTTCCCTGGCAACAGGCAGAGGCACCGAGGGACAGTGACAGATTGTGAAATCCTGGGGCTGGGCTTTCTAGAATTACTTAAAAAGAGGGAATGGTCACAATACCTTGCATTTGTATTGTGCTTTTAAAAAGAAAGAAAGCGGTCTTTAAAAGCTATTCAAGGAGAAGGCAGCTTTGGAATTGTCTGGTAGAGAGGGAACCAGATAGGTAAGAAACGTGTTGTCTTATTCTTATCAACTCAGTAACAATGAGAGTAGTAGAACTCTACACTCCCCTCCACTTCCCCATCCCCACACAGGTGAGGATGCAGAGGAAGACAGAAGTAGGGGGACTTAATACCACACAGCATTAGGGGCAGAATTTGACCTACTCTTGACTTTCATTGTCAGCCCAAAGCAGGCAGAAAGGATAAAGAAGCTGAATGACCTAACAGTTTGCTTTGTCCACCTGAGATTCTGGCATGTAGACAGCTCTTCCTGAGTCAGCCTTCATACTTGGCCTGCTGGGGCATACAAGAAAATGCTTCATTGCTTCTAGGTCTGAAAGCAATGAAGAAATGTAGGGGTGGCGAATAAGAAAAATTGCCATTCTCTTACCTACCCAAGGTGAGGTCACTAAGCAAAGCAGGAGCAGATTCAACAGACAGGGATGGATCGGGCTGCTTGTGGTGCTCAGGGAGTTTTAGTGATATGTGAGGATTTAAAGAGGGCATCAGCAAACTCTGGTCAGTGGACCAAATGTGGCCACTGCCTGTTCTTAGAAATAAAGTTTGATTGAAACACAACCACAGTCATTCATTTTTGTCTCAGCTGCTTTTGCACTACATGGAGAGCTAAGTAGTAATGACCAAGATCAGACGGCCCACAAAGCCTAAAATCTTTACTATCTGATCCTTTAAGAAAGAGTTTGCCCACCCCAACTCACACCATATACACAAAATATTAACTAGAAATTTATCATAGACCTAAATGTAAGACTTAAAACTGTAAGACGGGTACACAGGTGAAAATCTTTGTGACCATGGATTACAGAGATTTCTTTGCCATAACACCAAAAGTACAATTCATTATTTTTCAAATTATTTGAAAATTTTTTTGGTAAATTGGAGTTTACCAAAATTAAGAACTCTTCAAAAGACATTATTAAATGAATGAAAAGACACACCACAGACTGGAAGAAGTTATTTGCAGATAAACATATCTGACAAAGGATTTGTAGGCAGCATCTAAAAAGAAAGAAAAGCTAGATTAATGAGCGAACATCCTAATAAAAATGGGTAAAAAATTTGAACAGATATTTCACCAAAAATGGGTGAAAATATATGGTTAACACATAAGGACATGAAAAGAGGCTCAACATCCTGAGTCATCAGGGAGAAGCAAATTAAAAATCACTGTGAGATGCCACCACCAACCATGAGAATGTCTAAAATTAAAGAGCGACCATACCAAGCTGTTGCACAGGATATGGAGCAATTGGAACGCTCATACACTGCTGGTGGAAATGTGAAATGGTACAGCCCCAGTCAAATAGCTCCACAGTTTCTTAAAAAGTTAAGCACATGCATACAGTATAATCCATCACACTCCTAGGTATTTACCCAAGAAAAATCAAAGTGTATAAGCATGTGTCCACACAAAGACCTTTATGCTAATATTCATAGCAACTTTATTCACAACTAAAAACATCCCAAATATCCATTAACAAGTGACTAGATAAAAAAATTTGGTAAGTCCACGTAATGGAACACTACTCAGTAATAAAAAGGGATGAACTATCGATACATTCAACAACATGAATTAACCTTAAGACGATTATAATAATTACCCTGAGTGGAAGAAGCCAGACAAAAGAGATTTATAAAAAAATTTTAGAAAATGCAAACTAATCTGTAAGTGAATAGAAAGCAGCTCTGTGGTTGCCTGGGAATGGCAGGGAGGCGAAGAAGAGGAGAGACTGATGGAAAGGAAAACTTGGGCCAGGCAGGAGGTGGGGATAATTGATGTTCATTGTCTTGATTGTGGTGATGATTTCACAGGTTCATATGTGTGTGTGTGTGTGTGTGTGTATACATGTATATGTCAAAACATATAAAGCAGTCAAAAAATAAAATTGTGTAATTCAAATATATGTAATTTATTGTATGTCAATATACACAACTATATTGACAATAAGCTATTTTTTAAATTGAGGTAAGACTGACATGTCATATTATATATAAAGGTATTTTTTAAAGGCAGAAAAAACCCTTGAGGTTGTTATTTCTTTCTTTAAACACTCTGTGTAGTTTGAAGCAGCCAGCACACTCCCCAGGTTTTATATTCCCTATTTTCACTGCAATGGCTTATCTCATCAGCAGCTCTGTCCTCCAAAGCCTTACCTTCATCCTAGGTGACCACAGGTGATAGGTACTGCCACGGAGTGATGTGGACTACCAGAATACTATCTCCTACTGTTAGTAGGATCACTATTGCCTTTGTATCCCACCAGATCAGATACCCAACCTGATTCTCCTTTCCTTGAGAGTCTATTGCTTGCCACCATCCTGTTATTAATCAGGTATCATCAGAAGATAGGGTTAATTACAGAGAACTGAATTCATTCCAACTAACTGAAGCAGAAAGGAATGTATTAAAAGATGCTGGGGACAAGTTCAAGGAGGAAGGTCTCAGCCATTTCTGCATATGGGAATTACCTCACTATGTGGGGAATGATTTAATTGTAGGCTAATCAAATCTACATTATAGAAGTACCTTTTTAATGGTGTTTTCTTCTCAACACATCATAATTTCCCAAACCCTCCTCTTGTGAAATTTCTAGTAAAATTCAACCAGGGATGAGTGGCTTACTCCGGGGATAATTCCCTGGGGTAGGGAAAGGACACGGTGAACCTGGAACACCTTGTTGAGCTAGGAAGCAAAGATGCCCTCAAAGATTAATGAGGACATGTCAAAAGAACAGAGGACACTGCTCATCTATAAGGATGGTAAAACAAAACAACAAAAACCTGACAAGGTCCCAAGAAGTGGTTCCAGCCCACTCCAAGATGGCTCTGGGACCCGGCCGTCTGCTGTGCAGAGAGACCTCTCACTGGGCAGCCCCTGGTTATGGAGTGAAGATACAGCATCCGCCTCCCTGGGAGACCTTTGAGGAAGCCAAGGAAAGTGTCCCAGCAGAAATCAGGAGCCCTGGTTTCTAGTCCAGCTCCGCTGATAACCTGCCTTGTGCCTGCCCACGGGCAGGTGTTTTCCTCTTCTGAGCCTCTCTGTCCTGGTTTGCTCAATAAGGGGAGGGGGACCCTAAGTGTTTTCAAACTGAGTTTCCTGAAACTCTGTGACTCCTTGGATTGCCTTGGGACACTGCAAGGGGAACCAGGGTTGGGGGTGAGCTCCACCTAGAACAGCCCTGCTTTTATCTGTTTTATGTTTGGCAGATATAACTCAGTTGACAAACTCAGGATGTGCAGAAAATATCAACTCCTCTATTTTCTAAATTTCTAAATTAATTTCTGACTCCCATGGCCCATTCCCAGAAGCTGGATGAAATACTCACCTCAAACGTTCTTAGAGTTCTTCTCTCTGATGTTGCCTTATTTCTGGGTCATGGGGGTCCACTAAGAAGCCGCGTCTCTGTCCAGTGGTCTCTGTGGGTCCAGCTGTCCCTGCTGATCCTGTGCCACTCCTGGGACATGGGTGCCCTTTGGGAGCTGACCAGTGTCCCCTCTGCCTTTCTCTTCCACTGTTTTCTCTAGCCCACCCTCCAGCCTGGAAAACCCTTCCCAGCCTGGGGGAATTCCCTTTTGTGTTTCTTTAAGACATTCATTCAGTCTATGCCAGCTAGTCCCTGTTATGGATTGAACTGTGTCCACCCTAAAAAGATACATTGGAGTCCTAACCACCAGTACCTCAGAATGTGACCTTATTTGGAGATGAGGTCTTTACAGAGCTAGTCAAGTTACAATGAGGCCGTTTGGGTGGGCCCTAATCCAACATAACTGGTGTCCTTGAGAGAAGAGGAAATCTGGACACAGGTAAGCACAGAGGGAGGACAGTGTGAAGACACAGAGAGAAGACAGCCATCTGCAAGCCAGGAAGAGAGGCCTGAAACAAAGAATTCCCTCACAGCCCTCAGAAAGAACCAGCACTGCTGACACCTTGATCTCAGACCTCCAGCCTCCGGAGGTCTGTGAGACGATACATTTCTGTTGTTTAAGCCATTCAGTATCTTGCAATATTTTGTTGCAGCCCTAGCAAACGAATGCAGATTCCCTCTCCCACTTTTCCCTCCCTTGCAAACCCTTTAAGTTCTCCTGGGTATTGCTCATTCTCCTAACATCTGCTTGAATGGGAGGAAAGGATAGGGGAAAAAACATAAGTAAATATTTCATAATTTCATTCAGCTGCACATACATAAAGAGCAGAGAACTGGAGGCTAAAAACAGCTTAAAAAAATCACTGGGCTGATGAGTTGATGATTGTTGTCACTGGGTGATAGGTCCATGGGGGCTTCATGGTACTATACTCTCTACTTTTGTGTACATTTGAAAATTTCCGTTATAAACCATTAAAAAGGGGAAGGAGAGAAAGAGAAAGAAAGCATCACTGCACATCGCTGAGCCAAAAGATGATGCTGTACTTGCATCTCTGGAGTTTCATCACGGTAGCATCTGTCCCTCTCCTCGTCCCAACGAGCCAGACTCTGCTGGCAGCACCAGGAGTTACCCCTCACCCCATCCCCAGCTTGAGCCCCTGTTACCAGAGCCTGTGCCTAGCTTTTAGCACTGAGACTTCCTTCCCCAGCCAGGCTTCAACCCTGAAGCCTTTACAGCTGAGCAGAGCAAGGGTGGCAGACAGACCCTCCTGGATCCCAAAGACCCACAAACCTCGTCACTGCTTGGGCTGCCTCGCCGGCTCCTCTGTCTCCTCTCAGGAGTTGTTTCCCCTGCATCCTGTTGTCGCTGTTTATCATACCAAATTACTACCCAATATCACTAATGATCACTCAAATTATAATCTGAGGCACAGCTGCGGTGCCTCGTGCCCAACACTCTCATCATCAAACGCTCTCCTTGAACCTCAGCTCTGGGTCAGAGTGAAAGAATCCATAGAAGTACTATTATTTGTGGCATTTTAAATAAGTTCACGGTATTGCTGGTACCGAGGCCACATTACTCCTGGTACTATGGTTAAATAGCCAATAAACGGCAACCCAATAATCCCCCACTTCCTCACGTCCCATTTCAGGAGCCACTCTTTATGTTTTCCCTTTTAATTCTCCTTCTAAACTCACTTCTTCCCTCAGAGCCCACTAATGCTAAAAATTTCCACTGGCAAAATGAGAAGAGTAAAATGGGCTTTTCATGGGATTGATTTACTGAATTTAGGAAAACTGTCCTTTTATTTTAGGATTATATTCTTCCTATTTTCTGGCCTTAAAATATCTTTTCTTCCGTGAAATGGTAGTACCAGGGTACCACAATGTATCAGTCGGGGTTTAATTGCAGGTAGAGCAATTGTTCCAGCGATTTTAAGCAGAAAAGAATTTAACACAGGGATTTAGGACTTTATAAAATCATTGGAAGGGCTGGTGGAGCAGAGAGAGGTGGGGCTTCTGGGAGCACCTCTCCAAAGAACTGGCCTGCCAGGAGCTCGGCTGTCTCCGCCATGATCAGGAATCTGGGATGTAGGGAAGGCACTGGCCTCAGGAGATGCAAACGTCTTTGTCTCCGGGCTAACCAGGAGAAACAGCAAAAGCACATGCTTGGCCATCCTCTGCCTTTCCGATCTCACGCCAGCACACCTGCCTGGCAGTGGGAGGGTCATGTGCGCACCTGGAGCTGTAAGGCCTGCTTCAAGGGGGGTGGGGCTGCTTGAACCAGTCTGCAGTTCTGTGGCTAAACCTCACATTTTACTGACGTGTGAAATCCAAAACCCCCAATGTGCAGGGGCGGTGGCAGGTGGGGTGGGTGTCGATCCTCTAGAGCAGCCCCATCAAGGACAGAAATTAAAGTACTTAGATTCATATTCTATATCCAGTAAACACAGGAAGAGTCATCTGTAGTCCTCACTACTCATCAAGTGGACGCAAATTAAAATCACAATTAGATCACGATTAAAATCACAATTAGATCACGATTAAAATCACCACTTCACACCGACCAGAATGACTGAAAAGGAAAAGCGTGACGACACCAAGTGAGCGCAAGGATGCAGAACGAGGAGAGCTCCCGTTCACTGCTGGGGGTGGGGGGGCACGTGTTCGTACAACACGCTGGAAGAACTGTGGGGCGGCACCTACCAGAGCTGTAAGTGCAGATGCCCTCTGACCCAGTAATCCCACCCTAAATCCACCAAATAAGAAACCGGCGGGAGAACGGTCACAGCACCATTATTTTTAAGAGCCCTAAACTGAAGACAGCCCATCAGCAGGAGAATGAACGCACAGGCTGGAGCACATTCACACAGTGGAACACTACGGAGCAACGAGAACCCACAACCCACAATCAGCAGGGTTCGTGAAAACCAGGCATGGCGTGGAGCCAAACAAGGCCGATACAAAACAGGGCATTCCGTGTGCTTCCATTTCAATAAAGCACAGAAGCAGCACCTTGGAAGTTAGCATAGTGGGTGTCCTTGCAGGTGGATAGGAACTGGAAGGGAACACGAAAAGGGGTTCTGGAGTGTTGGCCACATTTTGTTTCTTGATTGGGATTCTGGTTACCCACATGTGTTCACATTGTGAATTTTTGTTTTGCGGTATGCTTATGATTCACGCACCTTTAAATGTATGTGTGTGTGTGTGTATACACACAAAACAGTGAAATTTACAAAACAAAACAGACAACTTAGCTTTCAATCTTTCTCTTTCTCTAAGGACCCTCACACCCTGATAGTAATAATGGTTCCATTCATGGGGCACCTACCATGTGCCAGACACTGCATATCGCGCTGCCGATTCTCACGACCTCTGTGCCCAGTGGAAGGTCATTTCATGGATGGGGAACCAGAAATAAAGCGAAGATATGCAACTTGTCCAAAGCCATCCAGTGGAGAAGTGGTTGAGCTATGAGTCAAACCCCTGACTACTGCATGTGCCCCTCCAGTCCAGCCCAGTGCATTGCTTCTCACTTGGTCTCTCTTCCTGGTCTGCAGCCTGGCTGAGTACATGGTCCTTAGCCGAGGGTTGGCTCTCTTCCTGTTCCCTCCCTTCTGCCTTTCCCGGAGCTCCAGGTTGGAAATG